GCTGCTCAGTGTGAGCAGCCAGACGAAGGGCAGGGGGGCAAAGGTTGGAGGCTCGAATCCTCCCTGGTGCATGTTTACTTCTTCTCGGGCCAGGGTTCGCTGGATGGTTGCGTCACTGTTCTCAAACTTTTCCCGTTCCTCAGCGCAGCTCAGGCTTGCTTTGCGAGCGGTGGACATCATCGAACCATCGCGCATCATCGACCCATCGCTCTCGCCAAGACGACCTTCGCCACAAGCAGGCCATCGCGATCCGGATTTTGGAAACTTGGGGCTACGTCTGACCGACTTTGATGACCAGGACGAAGAGAAGGAGGAGGAGGAGAAGAAGGAGGAAGAGGAGGAAGAGTTGTCGACGCCGCCGCCCCCAATCCGGCCGCCCTGGGAAACCCCAATGCCAATGCCGACTTCGCCAGAGAACCACCTCCCGCAGTATCCATGGATGGACTGTCTGGCCAAGGATTGCCCGGCGCAAGACGCCAAGGTGACCAAAGGGGGAGGGCCCGCGGCAAGCAACCAGAACGGAGAAGGAGGAGAGAAGGAGAATGCGTACAATGTGGGCTACTCCAACGGGTTCGCCGAGGGGTATAATGAAGGCTTGCAAATGGCAGCCTTAGTGCGCACTCGTCACCGCCCCGGACCATCCACGCCAATGCGGCGATGGCAGTGACTTTTTTGGGGGGTGCTGTGCCAAATTTTGCAGAGGTGGAGCCACAACCGCCCTGCCGCATGAATTTAGAATCTAAGAGCAAGGACTTGCCACAAGGCAAGGACAAAGATTGACACGCTGTCGGCGTGGCCGGGCAAAAATGCGCACTGGCATGGTGATGGATCATTTTGTCATTGGAGTGAGCGCTAGGGCTATGTCTCTTGCGTCTGATGTTTGTGTGTTGGTGTCACGCAGAGCGAGCTGAGGCGCAATCACCAATCAATGAGGCGCAGAGGGAGAGGACGAGAGGCCTGGAAGTAAAGGCGCATGGGGCAACGCTCGACGCATGTTTGAGCTAAATCGGCAGGCCAGCTGCGGGCATTCTGGGCATCAGGCGGGCTCGCGGGGCAAATCCTCATCACTTGAAACTGAAGCGCTGAATGGCAATGCTGAAGGCGGCATGTCGTGCGTGCGCACGAAGGGCTCCCTTGCTAACTTACTCGATATTGTCACGGTTTGGGTCAGTCTATGCAAAACATCGCGCTGAATGAAGCGTCGGAGGCCGAAGGAGGCATGTGCGCGCGCACACTGAATTGTCACGTTTGGATCAGTCTATGCAAAACATCGCGCTGAATGAAGCGTCAGAGGCCGAAGGAGGCATGTGCGTGCGCACAATGAAGGGCTCCCTTGCTAACTTACTATATATTGTCACTTTTGGATCAGTCCTTGCATTTTGGCTCAGGCTCCGCTGGGTCATTGTCGTACAGGGGGGGGGGGCTCCAATGATGACGGCGCGCCAAGGCAGGAGAAGCAAGAGAAACACATTCATGGCCAGGACACGGCGTTCGAAAAGCAGGAGGAGGATGAGGAGGAGGATGAGAGGGTGGCAACCAAGCTGCTGGGCAACAAACGCGAGGGACCGCGCTGATGATGGGGGACCCCAGCAACTACTACCTGGATACGAAGATCGCGGAGCTTCGGCAGAACGAGTGGGGGGAGATGAAGGCAACAAACGCGAGGGACCCAGAATTGCGAGACAACTGGCGCAGAACGCGGGGCTGACTCCGACGGACAATGACGAGGGCCATTTCATCGATGAGAAGGTGGAGGAGGAGGAAGATGATGAGGAGGAGGAGGAGTCGAGAAAGAGGAGGAGAAGGAGGAAGAGGGGGAGCGCTGGCGAGGATGGGGTGCAGTGCAGCGTGGGGGATTCCATCAGTCGACTTGCGCAACAAGCGCAGATAGAAGATCACCTCCCCATTGCGCAGCATGTCCATCAATCGACAGGATGCCCACCTTTCCAAGCATGGTCAACTGCCGTGGAGCGGTCGCAGAGTCGAGCATCAACACGGGTCAATTTTCCAGTGGATGCCCTCACGGTCGTTCTCATGCGCTATGGTGCCTTCCAAGGAACTTGCACAACCAAGATTGAGCGCCTGTTTTCCAAGATTGCCAAGCATATTGCGCCAGACAGGGGCTGCTTGGACGAGATGAACGAGCTTTGCGAGGCTCGGGGTGCTGAAACTAGGGTCCCCCATAAAAAAGATTCTTCTTCTGTTTCTTTCTTATTATGTTTATACTTTATTTCCGTGCCCCTTGAGGTCAAGATCCTGGCAGATGGAGGGGTGGCTGTGGGCGAGTCGCCGCTGCTGATGCAGCTTGCCCAGTGCCATTGGGCCCTCAATTTTGGAGTCCCAAGGGCGGCTCCATCTCACGACCGACTGGACAAGGGTGTGCCTCGCAAGAGAAAAGCTGACACGGAAGCCGACTTGAAAAGGCGCAAGGCTGTTGCAGAGGACCATGATGTGAGCTTTGAGGACATCATGGCCCAAGCAGAGGATGCAGCTGCGCAGATTCTGGCATCAGAAGCCCAGCTGAGGAAGGAGATGAATATGCAGACATCAAGGCGATACTACAACAAAGCCCTGGCCTTCCTGGAGGGGACGCTGCTTGAATCTGAAGTGCCTTTGGATTTGCTTGAAGTGGCCGAGGCCATCAAGACAGTTTAACAAAGCAATGATGAGAAGAGGGACAAGCGCGCCGATGCTTGCAAATCATGGCCCCTTCTGCACCCCAGCTTCAGGGCACTGCCATCTGGCTGCCAGACGAATCGCTTTCAAGATTGCCTGAATGCAGAGGCGTTGCCAAGCAGAGGAGGAGGGAGGACTTGAGGAGGCTTGCTTGTTCGGAATGAAGATGGCCCTGATCTGACGCTTTGGTCTTCGTATGGGGTTGTGTCAAAGTGGGGGAGGGGATTGGGGTGATTTGCTTGAAAGTCACGCCACAGTTTCTAGCTGCAAAAGCCACTGTCCAGCAAGTTCAACCTACCAAAGGCTGGCTGCTAGAATTCTGTTTGTGCGTGCGTGCGTGGAATAGTTTTGGTCTTGGTCACGACATCAATAGCACCAAGGGGCAAAATTCTTCGGCATTTTGCGGGGCTGAGCCATCACCCACTGCCACGCTTTTCCAGCTCGCTCTTTTGATGGGAGCGCGCGCAGGCTGCTCAAAGCACTTGCGCACAGCCACAGCTGCACAGACAAGGCTGCACAGCCACTAACCGCAATAGACGGGAAAACAGAGCTTGGAAAGCAGAGCTTCACAGTCAATTGCTGCGCAAAGCATGAGGTCGCCGCATGAGGCGTTGCAACATGGCAATTTGCTGCGCAAAGAGCGGGGTCGCCGAATGAGGCGTTGCAACACGGCAATTTGCTGCGCAAAGCGCGAGGTCGCCGAATGAGGCGTTGCAACATGGTCGCAGCATGGTCATTTGCAACCTGAGGAGCCGGCGCTCCGGCGATGCGGCCCTTGCACAACATGCCAGGGCCTCGGCAGAGCAAACAGATCTTCACTTACTAACCTTTCTGAAAAAAAACGCACTGCATTTTTGTCTTGGCACGGCGGGCGGTCTGTGCTCACACATGCACCCCCCGTGCAAGGTCAATATCCAACCTCTGGGGTTGCAAACAGTTATTGCGGCATCTGCTCGCGCAACCGACCTTTGGCGCGCCCTTTAGCGAACCCTTTATCGTACATTGATCGCAAGACATCAGGCGGGCTAGTGGGCTCTTCCCCCTCCCCCTCAGCACGCTGGTCTCCACCGCCTTTCCCCTTGACAACTTCCTTGGTGTTGGCGCTGCCTGTCTTGCCATCCTCCTCCCTTGCGGCCCTTTCAATGAGAGCAAGTGATGCCAGGGGGGGAACTTCTTGAGCTTCAATGCCAACACCAAGAAACACGCCATTTTCCAATTTACTTTCAATGACAAAGCATTGCCTCATTCGGCAAACCAGCGTTGCCTCATTCGGCAAACCAGCATTGCCTTGTCACGCAGCAAGCCATGCAGCAAGCCAACCGCTGTTTTTGCCTCATTCGGCAGACTCTGCCTCATTCGGCAAGCAAACCACTCAGCTGCCAGCAGATTCAATGTCGCCGCCCCCATTCCCGGCTCTGCCTCTTGCCTCTGTGTCCGCGCCCTCCGTGCCCCCCGCAGCGGCCTCAGGTGGCTGGCGGGCGCCTCTCATGTCTAGCTTGCGGCTGGGGCTGGCTGGTGCAGGCTGACCGGGACCGGGCGTGGGTCGGCAAGGTCGAGATCGAGAGCACGCGCAGCACACGCAGCATGAACAAACAGAAAACAGCTTGACCGACAAGTCGCCTTTTGGCCTCAAAGGCGACTTGTGCTTGTGTTGGGTGTGTTGTGTGTCTGCACGCAGGTGTGTGTGTGTGGCTTGCTGCATGGCTTGCTGCATGACAAGGCAATGCTGGTTTGCCGAATGAGGCAACGCTGGTTTGCCGAATGAGGCAATGCTTTGTCATTGAAAGTAAATTGGAAAATGGTGTGTTTCTTGGTGTTGGCATTGAAGCTCAAGAAGTTCCCCCCCTGGCATCACTTGCTCTCATTGACTTGTGCTTGTATTGGGCGTGTTGTGTGTCTGCACGCAGGTGTGTGTGTGTTGCGTTGTTGTGTAAGTGTGTGTGTGTGTGTTGTGTGTGTGTGTGTGTGTGTGTGTGTGTGTTTGTAAGTGTGTGTGTGTTGCGTTGTTGTGTAAGTGTGTGTGTGTGTGTTGTGTGTGTGTTGTGTGTGTTTGTAAGTGTGTGTCATGCGTGCGTGTGTGTGTGTGTTGTGTGTGTTTGTAAGTGTGTGTCATGCGTGCGTGCCTGCGTGCGTGCGGTTGCGGTTGCGTGCGCGCGTGCGTGCGTGCGTTGCGCGCGTGCGCGTGTGCGTGTGCGTGTGGGTGTGGGTGTGTGTGTGTGTGTGCGTGTGTGCGCGAGTGGTGAACGGGAGGGCCGCGACGAATTGGCTTGCCTGCTTAACTGCTCTGCAGCCATTTCAGCCAGCATCCTGCAAGATTGAGCGCAATGCCTCGCCCGCCGGCAAAAGTGGGCAAGAGCGATCTTGCAATTTTGGAAGCTGCAGGGGTCACTCTGGAAGACCTGCAACATTGGGAGGATTGCGGGGAAACTGGGTGTGACCGGCGCAACATTCCGGAATGGCACAAAAAGCTGCAAGCCGGCACTAGTGGAAAGACCTGGCTTTGCAGCGCCGTTGGGCCGGATGGCGCATGGACACTTCAATGTTGGGTATGCAAAGCTGCAAAGGTGGATAGTGCCTGGTCGACAGGGGTGGCAACCAAGTTGCTGGGCAACATGCAGAGGCATCACAAGTCTCATCAGCACCAGGAGGCCTTAGCGAAGTTGGGGCTGGGGGAGTTTGAGCAGGACCTGGAAACAGCCGAAGACTTTCAAAAGGTCATGAAGTCGAGGAAGGAGACCGGCGCGCTCAGACAGGGAGTTGCAGGAGTGGGGGGGCGCAAGAAGATCACGCAGATGCAGTACTGCCTGGGCCGAGCATTGTTCACGCTGGATCAGGAGTTCCTGCGCAACGCGCAAGTGATTGCGATCAGCGAGGATGTGCGGCAGCATAAGGTCCTGATTCGATATGCAGCTTGCGACAGCAATCTGCAAATCCGGAGCGGGCTGCTGGGGTATTTCGAGTTGGGCACGCACAGCGGCAACATCGGACTTCGCAAGGCTATGAAGGTTGCCTTGGAGGTCTTCTGTCTGGACTTCGATGGGGAGGTGGACAGGGGGTTGCTGGAGCACATTGCAGACAAGGTGGAGTTGTTCACTGCTGACGCTGCCTCGGATGAGCAACTGGCCCAGGGGCTGTTTGCAAACCTCCGGTTCGTGACGAAGGACCGGGCGCATGCATCAACACGTCTCCTGGAGAGGCCCTGGCAAGCAGACAGCGAGCTGAGCAGAATTGTGGATCAGCTGGCTCTTGGCCGGTCGGTGGTGCGCCGCATCCACAACAGCCCGCACTTGAGCACGATTTTCGCTCAGTACTGCCAGCAGATGAACGATGCGCCGCTGACAGGAGCGCGCATCAAAAACTTGTCTGTGGCCAAACAACGCTTTGCGTCAATAAGCAAACCTGTTGGCCGGCGCGTGCTTTACCTCGAGGCCCTTCTGAACACAATTGTGTGGATTTTAGTGAACAGGGGCCCGTCCACTGATGAGGGGAAATTGGCCATTGAGTTCCTCGAGGTCATGGGGGAGGAGCAGCTTGTTCTAGCAGGAATGATTAGCGATCTCAGCGACGAGTGCATGAGGCTGGTTCGCTACTTCGACGGCGACTACGACCTGGCTGGGACTTGCGTCCAACTCAAATGCTTCATGGTCCGGATCCATTTCCTTGTCAACCAGGGTCGGATTTTCGACACAGTGGGCTACACGCAGCGCTGCATCCACCAGCTGCAAAATGCGCGCGGCTTCATTGTGTGAAGGGGGAGCCTGTTACCATAGGCGGCCCGGGCCGAGTGTCACAAGCCATGCTGGAGAGATGCCGAGTTCGGATGGCGGCTTGGGTGAGGGTGATGGGGGAGACGCTTCAAGCGGAATTTCCTGCATTTGAAATGCTCTCAGCGTTCCACGTTTTCAGCTTGGAGCCGCGTGCTGCGCGAGAGGATGGGGTGCAGTGCAGCGTGGGGGATTCCATCAGTCGACTTGCGCAACTGTTTGAGGTGTGCCCGCAGAGCCTGCAAGCGCAGATAGAAGATCACCTCCCCATTGCGCAGCATGTCCATCAATCGACAGGATGCCCCCCTTTCCAAGCCATGGTACAACTGCCGTGGAGCGGTGCGAGAGTCGAGATCAACACGGGGAGGTCACATTTTCCAGTGGATTGCCCTTCACGGTCGTGCTCATGCGCTATGGTGCCTTCCAAGGAACTTGCACAACCAAGATTGAGCGCCTGTTTTCCAAGATTGCCAAGCATATTGCGCCAGACAGGGGCTGCTTGGACGAGATGAACGAGCTTTGCGAGGCTCAGGGTGCTGAAACTAGGGTCCCCCATAAAAAAGATTCTTATTCTGTTTCTTTCTCATTATGTTTATACTTTATTTCCGTGCCCCTTGAGGTCAAGATCCTGGCAGATGGAGGGGTGGCTGTGGGCGAGTCGCCGCTGCTGATGCAGCTTGCCCAGTGCCATTGGGCCCTCAATTTTGGAGTCCCAAGGGCGGCTCCATCTCACGACCGACTGGACAAGGGTGTGCCTCGCAAGAGAAAAGCTGACACGGAAGCCGACTTGAAAAGGCGCAAGGCCGTTGCAGAGGACCATGATGTGAGCTTTGAGGACATCATGGCCCAAGCAGAGGATGCAGCTGCACAGATTCTGGCATCAGAAGCCCAGCTGAGAAAGGAGATGAATATGCAGACATCCAGGCGATACTACAACAAAGCCCTGGCCTTCCTGGAGGCCTTTGGATTTGCTTGAAGTGGCCGAGGCCATCAAGACAGTCCAACAAAGCAATGATGAGAAGAGGGACAAGCAAGCGCGCCGATGCTTGCAAATCATGGCCCCTTCTGCACCCCAGCTTCAGGGCACTGCCATCTGGCTGCAAGACGAATCGCTTGCAAGATTGCCTGAATGCAGGAATCTGCGGTTCGTGGCGGACAAGGCAGCAGCACGCATTTTTTGCTGCGATCCAGACAATCCTGGCCAGCGCACCAAGTGGCACGTCGCTTCCAGGGAAAGCCTTCCATGCTACCTCTACGCAGTGAAAGATTCAGAGTCGCTTACAGG